CGTGTTTTTCCCCTTCTTCCTCTGTCCATTAGGGCTAAACCCGCACAAATATACATAAATATATATATATATATATATATATATATATATATATATATATATATATATATATATATATATGCTGAGATGTTTGGCTAGAGAATTCAATTCAGTGGAAGGTGGATTATCCGAATACAGATTATTTGAATTTCGGCATATCTGAACACGGATTAACTAAATTTCGGAGAATCAGAATTTAGGAATATCCAAATTACGGAGTATCCGAAATTCAGAGAATCCTAATAAAAATTTCTATGTCACTAGAATATTTAATTTAATTTTTTATCTGGAGTTAATATTTCTTAAAAAGAAGATAAAGCCTGTTTATTGCTGTTTCAATTGTGTTGAAGAGAAAGCGATTGGTCGGTTTGATGGCAGTGGGTTACTTAAAAAATAAAATTATGGGTTGAAAAGTATATAGCAATTCCGTTTGATGTCATTAAACCAAGGACTTTGAACATTTTGCTATAATTATAAGTCATGGTTCCTTAAATTTTCAACTCCATATTTTCATATTTTAAATGAAAGTTTGAGCCACTTTATAAACAAAATAAAAAAAAAAACAAATGTATTTTTATGCAACACAGTTTTAATTCATGTTTTTGAAGGATTTAAGTAAAACCTGATTTCTTTTTTACGCATTCAGTATTTTTCCCTGATATGATCATTTATCTAAATAATCAGTTTTACGAACAAAATATGACATACCCATCACGTTCGGATAATCAATGTTCCACTGCATAATACCCTAGATCTAATGATTGTTGTTGGATCCCATGTAAAGATACAGGATATCAAATATTAATTTTCAAGGCAGGCAGACTATCAACAAGAGAAAACGGACGATACAAAATTGTCCTTTTCAAATTTTAATTTATTTGATTTTGTGTCGCACTAAGCGAAACAGTAAATATTGAAGTGTGTTTGATGGCGGCGACAGAAGCCTCTATCCCACCGGCGCCAAAATTTGGTGTTCTTGCCTAGATAATAAAAACGAGTTTCATATGATGATTTTAAGGCAGTTATTTCCATACAAGAAGAAAAACTGGGACAAGACAATAGATCAATTCTCATCCCCACATCAAGCCTGGCTGGGAACTAAACTATGTTTTACACTATCACAAATACAGACAGACAGACAAAACACACACACACTAATATATATATATATATATATATATATATATATATATATATATATATATATATATATATATATATATATAAAAAGAAAGAACAGTAAGATATATAATCCGGTGTTCTTATAGATATTTTATTTTTACAAAATAGTGCTCAATGTGAATTTACAGAGCATTAATATTATAAATTTATTTATTAAAAATATGTTTTTTTTCGCTACACTGTTCTAACCATGTTTCAAAAATGGAAGCTAAAAGCTACGAATTTAATTTTGTAATTAAATTAAAGACATTAGTTCCATATCATCCTCAAGCGAATTTTTCTGTGTAGCGAAAAAACATATTTTAAATAAATCTATTTATAATATATATATATATATATATATATATATATATATATATATATATATATATATATATATACTAATTTATTTTTCATTTTTAGGGCAGGTTGGCTCTATTCACGTTGGGTTTGAGAGTAGGATAACATTTTTAGCCTCATAAGGTGAGACAAACAGATAATGGTAAAGCTATATAAGAATACAAATACTGTTGACATTGTACATATACAACTTGGAATATATATTTTTGTCAGTATATATTTACTCATGTTATTTCTGGGAAAAAATGTCAAAGTCGAGTTGGCATTAAAAGCTAACTAAACACTCAGAAGGAATCAATGAAATACACCAGCCATCACTTGTCAAAAATATATTTATTTTTTTTTACACATAAGAAATTGTATAACGCATACATGCATATATGCAAGTGTTAATCTTCTTACACATTTTTAAGAGTTAAGCATAAAACTTTAAATACATACAAACATAAATGTATGTGTGTGTGAGTGTGTGTGAGTGTGTGTGCGCGCGTGTGTGTGTACGTGCACATATGTGTGTGTTTGTATTGCGCTTAAAATTTGCTGTATTTACAAGGGAAGGGTGCTCGGTATTGGATGAAGCCCAATTATAGATATAGACTGCACAAGCATAGGAATCAACATAGTATGATATGAAACTGACAGTCATGATGCGGTAATGTACGCATTGTTTCTCTCTCTCTCTCTTTTCTCTACCTATATATATATATATATATATATATATATATATATATATATATATATAATGTGTGTGTGTATATATATATATATATATATATATGATATGTGTATATATATATATATGTGTGTGCATATATATATTTGCGTAAATGTGCAAAACCTAGTGTGCACCCGAATAATGTCACTGTAAACAAAACTGACCGGGTATACCAATTCTGTGGCAAAATGTGTCGCAGGTTGGCTGGCCTGAAGAGTCACTTGC